CCTGCCTTTCCTTCCACGAGTGAGGATAAAGGCTTGACTCAGAGTTCTCCTGAGTTTATGGATTCTGTAAATATTGTATATAAGTATGCTTGTGTTTTAGTTGTTATTTTGATTAGTTTAATTCTTTTGTTTATATATATTTACTTTTAGTATTATTATTTTCCTGTATTATTTATTTTAAATAGAGTGAGAATGTGCTCTCTGGACACTATTATAAATGTCCATAATTAAGATAGATTTTAATAATTCTGCATAAATAAATAAATATTTTTTAATTCATTCTCAATTTTATTTTATCGTTACACGGAGCTCTCAGTGAATTGCGTCATATTAATCTGTATCCATCTATCTACTTGGATATCGTTATTCTTTTAATTGTTTTTTTCCAATCATTCATTGAATGTTGTACTGTTTATTGAAGATATATTGTTGGAGGAGAAATGACCTTTTCCATAATTACCAGGTCATACTAGTTTATTGTAGGATAGTAAAGGTCCTCTCTCCTCCAATAATATACGGAATTTTTAATAAACAGTAGAACAATCAATGAATAATTGGAAAGGGAAACAAAAATTGAATGAACAACATCTAAGGGAATGGATATAGAAAGGAATAGATGAATATGGTGCTACGCACTGAAAGCTCCTTGTTACGATAATATAAAATTGAGAATAAATTTTAATATATATATATATATATATATATATATATATATAATGTATCTCAAGAATAATATATACAGTCTATCGATTATACAAAATAAATTTACTAATCCTCCCCCCTCACAAATTATTTTGTTGCCCACCTTTTCAAAAAAAGAGCATGCCGACGTAGAACTACAAAAATAGCAAATCATACACAAATATACTTGCTGTGATCTTTCCCATGTTTTCCTCTTGCCCCTTAGTCTGAAACTTTTCATTCCGAAAATCCATAACCCTGTCGAAATGTGCTTCCCCCCCCCCTCAAAAACTCATTAAAATATGCCCCCTTAAAAATTTTGATGGCGCACCTTGCGCCATGAAACCCCCTTCTGAGCATCCTTGAATCATATACAATTACTCTTCGTACGGTCTGTTCCCTGTTTTTCTCTTCAAAAATTAAATACCTCGTCAAAATGTGCCCCCACAAAAATTTTGATGGCCTAACTTGCACCATATAACCCCCTTCTGGACTCCCTGTCCCAAACTTATCTAAATCGTCCCTAAAATCCACTAACATTAACTCTGAATGTTTAATTCTTATTTTTCTAATATTATAACCAAAATTATCCCTCTAGGATAAGATGAGGATGAATTATGAAAAATATGGAGCTTGAAGTTGAGAAGTTCGCGAAAAATAACTTCAAGTAGCTGACGAATGCAATTATTCCCTATTCAATCTTTAGCCTTCAGTCTAATAAAATATGATTATATTTTTCAAGTATTTCAAGAGATAATTTATCAGCTAACAAAAAATAAATAAATAAAAACAGTTTGAAAAGGATAGCAAATTGTAGGAGCACTTAAATGGGATGTGTAACAAAACAAGTGTTTCTAATTTGTTAAAAAGTAAAATTGGATTGGGGCGTTCACTGGAAGCTATTTAATTTCAAGCCTAATCTGTTAGCACAAAGCAATGGCCTCACTATTATCAATCGTAGACTATTTTTTATCAACTCTAATTATTTAATTAGTGTTATATAGTAAAATTTTAGACCTCCTAACATTAGGGAATTTTTTACTTGAAATTGTAATTTTTTTTAACAAGTGTCTTCCAGTAGCAACGGATTTTTCTAGATTTCATTTTATTGAATTGGAAAGGGGGTCTTTCTTTTAAATGTATAAAATCATTACTCAGGAAGGAACTATACGCATAAAATGATGTTTCAGTGGTTCTTTAAGGGAGAAAAAAATAATTACAGGAAGGATAGCGCTTTTAGGGAAAGATATTTTAAATTTTCTCTTGGCATAAGCTTACATTTAGTTGCTTTATATGCATTATAATCTTAAAAGAGTACATATTGTGATTGTTTAAGTATTTACTTCAGTTCACTCACATAAATAAATATGGACTAATGTAAAAAGAAAAACTCAGGTCAAAATAAAAAGGTTTATAAACTTTTTTTTTTAATTTTGACTTGTAGGTTAAGTTCTGAAGAAATACTAAATTTATTATGTCTAAAAATTAAATTTTTGAAATTTGAACTGATAAGCAATAACATTTTAGAAACGGCTGACCGCTCAATACAGATACTTTTTAGTAGATTCATCTGTCCTTAAACCAGGTCCAATTTTTTAAATGTTCGTAGCCAGTTTTAAATTTAGTGTCTATGGGGTGGAACATGAGACTTATTTTACTTAAAATATAATTTATTATTAACCTTCAAACCTCTTAAAATGAGTACTCCATTTTGGTTCTTTCTTTAGGAATATTAAAATCCCTTCGCTTAAGAATTTGGAAAACATTTTTTAAAAAGTAATAAAATAATCAAACATATCTAAAATAAAATTTTAATTTCTTACTTTTTTGTTTCCTTGAATTTTTCTGAAATTTTTTTAATTGGTAAGTCCCAGGAATACTTAATGCTTAGGGTCTCTACTTGTCTTGATCTGCCTCTGATCACAAAATGAATATTAACTGACACTGGTGAAAATGGAACCCAACCAGCATTCAATGATCCCCTCTTTAACATGATCCCCCATCATTGCCAGGTATGTTACATTTAGTTATTTTTAATAAAATAAGTCAATTAAAACTTAGGTTAGTATTTAAAACCAAAATATGAACATATTAAAAGTGTTTTTGATAAATTTAAAATCTATACCTTAAATTTTAAAATAACAGGAATCTATAAACTAATTTTTAAGGCACAGTTTGAAGTTATTTAACAATTACATATGATTCTTTATTTAAATGGAAATAAAAATGTCTTTTTCACACAATTCACTATGATTCTCATATTAGAAAGTAAGATCAAAAGAGATTGAGGCCAGCAGACCATCTAAATGATAGGTTAATTTGCATTTGGGCTTTACTTGACTCTTTAAAGATACTTAAAGAGAAGATTTAAAATTAGCTCATAAGGGTTATTTATCTCCGAAATTAGAGTAAGATGAAATAAGTAGCTCACGAAATATCCAGAACTTAATATCACTGGCAAGTTTGATCATGTTCTAGCACTTTGTATCGCACCAAACTTCTAATAAAAAAAAAACTTAAAACTTGAAGCAGCAGTTATTGATCAGCCATACCGCAGGAATTTGTTGATAAGCTCTTTGGGGCATAGAAAGGAGTTAATCATGGTAGTAAATGACAGAGGCAGTTTTTAATTTTAGTAACAAGTTAACTTTGGTTGAAACTGTGGCATTTATTATATTTGTAAATTTTTAAGTTATTATTAAATAATATTTTCCATAAATAAATGTATTGTTATTAACACTGATTTATTAACTGAAATCTAAAATTAAATCACTATTACTCAAACAATTCAAGAAGCTTTTTTGTCCACCATTGTAATTCTTTATTTCACAAAAAGGAATCAGGAATTTTGAAAGGAAACTAAATAAAATTTAAAAAAGAATAAAACTGTATATAAATATTTTTTTTCTTTTTAAAAAAGGTGATATTTATACATGTACCCCAGCTTGTACAAGTTCAATTTACATGCTGGAAAAATAATGATTTACAGTGAAGTCTATGTCTCTATGCCTATTTTCATTGTAAAAAGATTCTACAAACAATTTATCTATATTATTTACAAATAAGTGATTTTATATATATATATAATAATTTAATTAATTATATTTAATTTAATTTATATTTAATAATAATTTTATATATATATATAATCACTGTATGTGTATTTGTGAGCACACACAAACACAAATGCGCACAGACATGCTTAAATACAGGCGCGCACACACACATACACATAAATGTACACTCACTATAAATGTACTTTCTATAAAATAATAAAATATAGGTATTTTCATTTTTATGCAATTATTTTTTAAGTCAAAAGTTCAAAATAAAGAATTCAAACCTTGATTTTTACTTACATAAAGAGTAATAAGTATTAAATAACACAAAAATTCATACTTAAATTATTAAACAACTTTCAAAAAATAAATTAGTATTTCCATTTCAATAAATCATATAAGAGAATAATGACTTTCCATAAGTTAAAAGTATTTTAATTTACAGTACCATCATGTAAACATATTTTCAAATACTTTTTTTTAATTGAAAAAAAATACTTAATATAATTGACAATGAATAAGAAACGTTTTAGGTAGCCAATGTTTTTAATCAATTATTTTTATTTTTTTAAGTAATTACAGTATTAATAATTACAAACAAATATTTAAATATATCTCTAAAAGGATGTATTGAAATGGTGGCATTCTATATTTTTATATGTTTAAATTCATTTTAATGTCAATCAGTTTACAATAATATAAATATATTTAGAATGTCTCTAGTAAACAAAATGGTAACTTGAAACAATAAAGTTCTACAAACGTTTGGCTGTGACAAAATGAATAAAAAATAACATAAATAATAAAGAACATTGGTGAAGTTACAGCAATTAACATAAATGCACCTTATTACCATTTGAAAATTTGTATACCGCACATAATTCCAAAAAAAAAAAAATCTGATTATAAAAACACAGTTACCAATATCTAATTCATATCTGTCAATTTAATAAAACTAAAAAAATATATATAACACCACTTCTATATTAAAGAAAAAAAGAAAATTATGTATTTAGAAAATAAATACAATATATGTGAATTTATAAATATATATATATATATATATATATATATATATATATATATATATATATATATATATATATACGTGTGCATATGCATATGTACATGTGTGTGTGCACGCACGAATATAGATGTACCTATGAATAAATGTTGATATATAAATATATATATATAAATATATATATATATATATATATATATATATATATATATATATATATATATATATATATATATATATATATATATATAATCTAGTATAATTTACAACTATTGTACAGAACTGACATCTTATGGGCCAACTGGCATACAAATTTACACTTTAAACATATATTTACAATCTTAATGTTTGAGCCCAATTTCATTATTTCTGAACCTCAATAAATCATTACATAAATAAATAAATAATAAATAACTAAAAAAATATAACATTATACACACAATTAATAAATTGTTCTACATAAAAATGAATCATTTTATTTATTTTCTTTTAAATTATAAACAATTTTAGACTGGAAATAAATCATATAAAATATTTTAGTAAATTTTCTTTAAAAAATTAAATAGACTACAATTATTATTGTATTAATACTACTATTTACATTCAAAACAAAGCAATAATACTTATTCCTTTATTACAAATAAAAAGAAGCAGTTCTTTTTTATTTATGTAATTTATCAACCTTAAGATTGCATTAAAAATGCTTAGAATGCATTTCTATAATTTGTCATCAACAATATATCAATATACAAACAATGTATATCTTCGAGTAATGAAAAAGGTATTCATATACTAATACACAATGGTTAAATTTAAGTAAATAACAAAGTATAGCATTCATAGTGTTATTAATGAATACGATAAATGCTACTTCATTATCATAATGATTACTACTCAATAGAAAAAAAAAGTCAATAATTTCATCTGAATTGTAATCACAACAAAAAATCTCCATAAATAAGCATTAAAATGGTTGAGAAAGGTTAACGAAAAAATTGGAAGCCATGCTTTTATAATGAATTATTAAATTGTTACAGAATCAGCCATCATGTCAAAATATGACATCACAAGAGTAGTTTTAACATATAAATATTCTTACAACTGGCACTTTATACATGTATGAATGTGTGCACATGTATATGCATGTTTCTGCAAATACAGACACACACACACACACACACACACACACACACACACACACACACACACATATATATATATATATATATATATATATATATATATATATATATATATATATATACACACACAGCATGCATAAAGCTCTAGTTTCTATACATAAAATTTTGATTTTAAAAGCAACAAAACATATGAAAATAAAATAAATAGCTTATTTATAATGTCAAACAACATTAGAACATTTCATATGAGTATAAACTTTAGTAATTTAAAAAATTTAATCAATAACAAATATTTGAATATGTTCATAATTAAATTTTAAGATTAAGAAAGAATTGATTGTTTTATATCAAATTGTATCCAATATAAAGAACTAAACATAATGGTAGCCACTAATTTTGTGGGGAAAGTTGTGTGCATCAATTTCATTTTATCTCAGACCAATAAAAAAAATTTCATAAATTTTACCACAAACAAGACCCCCCCCCCCTAAATAAAGAAAAGAAACACTAAATAAACGAATTTACTTCTGAAATAAACATTGTTTATTATAATGTTTATTTAGTTATATTTATTTTAAAGATATTTTTTTATGTTCTTTTTCTGAACAATACTTAGGATGAAGTAGATAAGAAAAAAATAAAAAAATTAAGAATATGAACACAAAAAAAATTGTTATTTTTTACATGTCGAATACTTTAATTACTCATTCATTACTTTCCTGAAATGTATCCCAAAATTAAAATGTAAGATTATACCTAGACAGCATATCTAAATGTAAAGTAATAATTAGTTAATTTACTGTTAAGGGAATCATAAAATAAATTATAAAAACTGACTGATCAGGTTCTTATCATAATAGATTTAGCAAATTTTCTGATCGAGAAATGAGTGATTAGTAAAATTTTCAAAGCATTAATTTTTCAATGAAACACTTATTCAAACCATCTTCTCCACCCCTTCCTCTCCGAAGTATCAATAGTATTATCTCTTAATAATTAAGCACAGATTTTTAAAAATATATATTAGTAGTAAAAAGTATCATTAAAAATGTTGAATACAATTTTTGTAATTGTAATTTAAACACTAATAGATAACTTATTCAAATAATAAATAATATTGATTTATTAGTTTATCGCAACATATGTCACAAAAGTAAACATTACATAAATAAATATGCAATCATATAAGAAAATTATATTTTAAAATCAACAAGAAGTGATGAAACAGAACAGATAATGAAACCCATAATAGAAAAAAATCACGTTAGTTTAAAAAGTCAGATTAGAAAAACAAGTCAAAATTACATATACTATGAGTAAGCTATGGAAAATTTTAATGATCACTCACGTCTGGAAAATAATAATTAGAAATCATTGACTACATAATAAAATAATATAGTTTCAATAAATTAAAATTAATCATTAATATCAAAAGTTACTAGTAAAGAAAGTAATGGAAGGAAATTTAGTAATAATTAATCCTTTAGAAAAACCACCACATTATATTACATAACAAGAAACACGTTTACAAATTAATACGAACATGGTCCTTTTTCTAAAACTAAAATTTAGAATTTTTAACTTACGTTATAATTTTTGAAGGATTAATATTTTCTTTAAATTGAATATCCAAGATATTATCACTAGTACAAGAATTCATTGGTTTTAAATGTACAAATTATTTCATAGTGTTTAAAAGAAAATAATTAATGAATGATCTTAAAAAAATAAATAAATATTAAAAAAATAAATAAATATTAAAGCAATAAAAAATTTCAACATAATCTAATTAAAGACTTTATTAATTCATATTTAGTATTAACTAAGCAATTTTGTAATCAACATAGAAAAAAATGCCTTTTCATCTTTTTTACTTAAATAATCTGAAAGTTAAAATATTTGAACTTCAAAAAAAGTGGCAAACCATTGTATGAAAATAAATCATTTTGAATAAAGTTTTTTTTAAATAAATAATTTTAAATATAAATTTTAAATAACAAAAACAAGAGGAAATTTCAACAATATAACCCAACCTAGAATTGGCTAATTCATATTCAGTACTGACTAAGCAATTTTGTAATCAATACTGAAAAAATATTATTTCATCTTTTAATTTCAATAATCTTAAGGTTGGAATTCTCGACTTTCAAAAGTGGTGGCAAAATTGTAACAAAATCAATCTCCTTGAAAAAATTTAAAAAATAATTTTATGAGAATTTGTGCTCCAACATGAGATAATTAGGAGTTGCATAAAGAGCTTGCTTAATTTAAGAGTAACAACAGTAATTACAACATAAAAATTTACATTATAAGGCCTCCAGCACCTAATTTACAGGTAATATTAAAGATAATTTTTTACTCCCATTTCATTTGCGGAAGAACATCAAAACATTAACATATTTACAACCATAACCAGTTGGCCCCTCTCTCTCAAAGAAGTACGTGCCATATCCTAGTGCATCAGTGAATTTCCTCCAGAAACTAATTCCACATGAAGAAACATCAGGTCCCGATATATCACATAGCTTAAGGAATGTTCATAACGAAAAGTCAGGGTCACTATAGTCATTTTCACTCTCTTCACTACTCTTATACTTTTTCTTCCTTTTATGATGATGTTTTTTATGTCTTTCTGTCTTGCGACTTTTAGTTTGCTTGACGAGACCTTTTGTAGCAATAAGTGTCAACTTTGGAACAGTTGGAGTGTTATTGCTTCCATCCTAGAAAATACAAAAATTAAAACTACAATAATTGAAGAAAAAATATACACTATAATAATTAAAATGAAGAAGAAAATCAATTTTTGGATCAGGGTGAAAGGTTGAATAATTTAGGAATTTAGATAACAATTACAAATGTTTAATGTCTTACAATAATTTATTAAAGAATTGACCCTTTATGGATATAATATTAATACTTAATTTTAAAATAATCTAATAAAACAATGATGAGGAAGAACTATTCAAGCAATATAAAATTTAAGTTCATTTTATAAAAAAAAACATTATGTATATAAAGTCAAATCTTGCTAGAGGATTTTTATAGATTTTTAAGAAATGAACTCAGTTTCTAAGCAAACAGGTTAAGAAGTGATTGCTAACCTTATAACATGTGACAACAAAGGGATATTGTCTTTCACTGACAGGGAGGATACCAGACATCAATGTAAAATTCCCTGACTTTTCTCTATTTAAAGATAGTTTTCCCTGACAAATATGTCTGGGGACACAAATATTGAACAGGTATAATTTATAATTAAATTTATTTATTATACTTGAAAGAAAACTAATATTGAACAGGTATAATTTATAATTAAATTTATTTATTATACTTGGAAGAAAACTAACTACAAAATGATTTCAGTAAAAAAAAATCTATCTTTTAAATAAAATAACAAATATTGTTTGTGCGAAAATAGTTCCAAATTTCATCATTACGGCGAGTGGTGGGATCAGAAGATCTAAAAGAAAACTTTTAATCTGTATGAGCTGCCGGTTCACTCAATCCATTCCAGCACTGAGAGTCAGAGACAATAGATACTCCGAGGGCGCCCTCAGGTAAAGAGAAGTTTGAAGCCGGCATAAAAATGGTAAGCTGTTTTTGCACAATTCGTATAACCTACCAATCCATTAAAATACAGTCCACTGCATAAATAAGTAGAATGTTGCCTATTGTGAACTCATGAGAGTTATTTGCCTTGCCTTAATTTAAAAATTGGTAAGTTTTCATAAACAAATATAATGTTTTAGAGGAAGAATTTTTTGAGCTTTATTACAAGTTTTTATTTTAGAAAACTAAAATTTTAGTCATTTATTTTTATTGCTTTCATTTTATTTTCATAAACTGAGGGGAGATACAAGTTGATACTTGACATATAAAGCTCTGATATTCTATATTATACAATAAAGATAGCTGCAGGGGATTCTGATATTAATCTAGTTTATTATAAGTAATTAAGTTTCTTGATTACTATAAACAGTGTAAATTTATCCATATGACACCAATTGTGACATTTCTGGTTAATAAATGCTCTTTTAAGGAGCACCACAGGATGAACGAATGAGTGCTTGCCAGCCAATGAATTGCATGCCAGCACATGAATTAACTAAAAATATAATACAAATTAAAACATAATGATATATAGGTATCTATCATTTGCTAATATTAACAGTCACTCCCCACTCTTAGCGATAAATTTATATTTCTGTTTAGTACTATAATAAGAATAAGGAAGAGCAAGAAAATTTTCCTTAGAAGAAATATTTTATATATGCTGCCCACAGAAGAGTGAAGAGTCCCATAGAGCCTGGCTCAAGAATAAAAAAAAAACCTAACACTTTCAACAATATAAAAGAATTCCAAGTCTATTTGAGACCAGCATGCTGAATGTGGTGAATCTTTTAAATCCGAAAAAAACAGCGATCTATCAATGACGAAATCGGTTATTCTTAATATTCCGTAATCAGGGTTAAAGGAAATTTTATTCAAAAAGATTAACTAATATTTAAAATCAATTCACAATCCATTTGATGAAAATTTTAAAAACCTTTTTTCGAATATTTATAACATTTATATTTAAAAAATGAGAGCCTGCTAGTCAGATCTTGTTTGTAAAAATGGTGGCTGATTAAAAGAATATTAGACAAGTAACTTGAAGATCGAAACAAAAAATTCATTGCGAAAAATGTTTTTTTGTTTTTTTTTACCTGTATATATTGATTTAGACACGTAAAAAAACAAAATCGCTAACACAGGCCACCAAGGGAAAACCTTTTACAGCCAAAAAAGCCAGACTTTTTTTATTTTTTCAACTATAACTCCTAAACGGTTCATCAAAGCAAAAAACATACTCTTTAAGAAATAAAAGAACGTTAAATCATTTGTTGAATGAGTATCTTGACTTACTAATTTGGTTAAATGGTATGTTCAATAGCCTTTGTCAACCAATGCTGATTTTTACCAAATTCATTAAAAACTAATACAAAATACTATAAATGGCCCTGTAACTTTGAAATGATTTCTCTAAGAGAAAAACTCATAGAATAAAAGTTGTATATCATCAAATTTCGCGTCCACTGAGTGCCAACAGTTTTAATGTAGGTCACTTACTTTGCTCATAATCAGTAGTAAATAGCGACGGCTGGAAATTGGTAAAGAAGATATCTGTGAATTTAATATTTCAACAGTATGGGTGTCTATTCTACTAAGTTATTCTTGTTAATAGTCTAATATATGCAGTATAAGACTCTTTTCCACTACTCAGCAGCGAAGGATTTTGAGAAATGAGGTGTAAAAAAACAACAACCAAATTTCATGAAGAAATAACGAATCCAAATTCAAGAGACATAATTGATCTACATTAAAAGTGTTAGTACACAGTGGATAGTGTTGCCCAAATGCAAGACCAACGCAAGACTTGGCTAGTCTTGGTCTTGCAGCAAGAGTCTCGCAAGTCTTGCAATTACTTATTAGCCTATTGCTATTTATTAAACACGTTAATTTATATCTTAGAACGACACAAAAGAATAGATACATTGGAGCCTATCTTTTGACCTAGACATAGCAAAGTGCAACCTAATTTACTTAAATATAAATATTTTCAAGACATTGTCAAGATAGATAGCGACAGACCCTCACCTTAGATGGAATGTAAGGGCTGTGGTATAAAGACATTAAATACAATATTAGCATTTATTGAAATAAAAAATAGATCACAAATTTAGTGTTTAGAGTTTACTTAAACAATAATAACGATTTGGTCCAACCAGATGGAAACGTCTATCGGTCAGTACTATTAATAATAAGTAAACCAGTTTTTAATAGTGACATATTTTTGTTTGACAAAAGTTATAGTTAAGGATTGTGTGTGTATGTGTACGTTCGTGCATACGTGCGTGCGCTCACGCGTGTGTGTGTGTATGTGTTTTGTGGAAATACTAATTTGCCAGGCTCACTTTGACTTCTTTTCACAGAGCTGAAAAGCAACTAACAAAAAACAAATCCTACGAACAGACCCGGTCTGGCTCCGCATGGAGCCCTCAGCTGGAGTTCGAAGCGTGGCTCCCTTATCAGGACTATATATACCCATCTAATGTATCCATTAGAAAAAAAAATTGAATTAGATTCATTTTCCTAAAAACCAATCAGTGAAATCATTAGGGTAAGATTTCTTGGATGAACCAAGCAATGTAAAGCAAGTGAACCACCATTAAAATCAGCTTATAAAAAACAATATATTGTAACTTTGCTAAAACTGGTCCGATTCAGATGATTTTTGTCAGAAATTTAATGACCTTTCAAATAATAGGCTTCAAAACAGACTCAGAAATGTTTAGATCTCTTGAAAACCGATAGGATGTATACATAGTGGGTTAGCTCCCCAAAACAATTTTCTTTTCTTTATAACTTTTTTCATAAATTTTCTAGGGATTCAGTAAATATACGAAAATATTATTTTGGATGCATAGAGATTATGAATGAGTGCCACCCGTCCTTCACATTCTTTAGTTTTCTATTTAGATTTCGATTGAAGTCTTTCTCCATAACGGACTGCACACAGTGGTACTAAATGGACATAACACTTCTTCTCTGGATTAAAACTACCAATACCCAATCAGGTCAAAGCTATCCAGAGCCAGATTTTCTTGTTGTTCAATACCACGTTGTTTAATTAAATTAAAGTATTGATAAATATGTACAATAGAGGCTGAATTTGTCTAACCAATAATTTCAGGTTTTACTGAATTGTTATAAAAATTTTGATGATGTCCACTTTTTAGACACCAAAATAATTTTCCACATTTTAAAGGACAGACATACGCGTCGATTGAGAAAGAAAAACAACATTTAGTTTGCTCTTCGGGAACCATTTAACATTGAAGGTAATTTTGGAAGTTCCGTGGTAATTCTGTGCATTCCCATGCACATGATAATTCTACTGCAAATTTTTCGATTCCATCCGTTCTTTAAAATTGTGGTTCGAAAACATTTATTGAGATGTCTAGATCAATAATTAACAAACAATAGTTGCCATCGTTGATTTGAGGGCGTTAGCAATTAATATTTGTCAACGTTTCTTCATACCTGTTATGCCGAGGTAAACATGATAATAACCAGAGGTTCCCACAGAGGGGTTATATGCCGCAAGTTGTGCCATCAAATTTTTTTATTGAACTTAAAATGAGACAAATTAAGTTTTCAATTTTAAGAGAACATTTAAACCAGAAAACAAAGAAGAAAAAAAAGGCACACTATGGTTAAAACTCGCTCCGCAAACAACAATAGTCTATGGAACAGGATATTTGATAGAATTTTATATACGCATGGGAGCAGAGCAATACCGCCATAATTAGAGCATTTCAATAGGTTCCCCTTCTTGTGAAGGAATATGACTGTCTTCTTCCAGCCTGAAGGCATTATTTCCTCAATCCATATGCTCACCAATAAGTTGTGAAGGAGCTTGAAGAGTTCATTACCTCCATGCTTAAATAATTCTGCAGGAAGTCCATCAATTCCTGAGGCCTTATTATTTTTTAATTTGTTGAGGGCCTCACTGACCTCGTCTTCATCATCGTTCCTGGTCATCCGTTCCATCCTGACCGAAGGGCAGCTCCGTCCCTTGGCTATCTATGTTTTGACCATTCAAAAGCTCCTTGAAATACTTTCTCCATTCTGCTAGACAGGCTTGTTCCTCGGACAGGAGAACTCCCTGGTCATCCATACACATTGAAGGTATTTGTTTGAATGGTCTCCTAGTGCTATTAACTTTATGATAGAACTTCCAGCTGTCTCCAATAGTCCTTGATTCCTCCAGGTCCTTCAGCTCCTGGATAATTCCTTCTCTCTTCTTTCCCTGAAGCAGCCTCTTTTCTTCCTATAGACTTCCGACTGTACTGCATGTGTGCCTGTTGATCATCAGCTGGTATGCTGCATTTTTAACTTCTGTAGCTATTCGACAGTCTTCATCAAACCAGCTTTTCCTGTTTTGCTTTTCAGCATTCCCTAGAATGGCATCCGCAGTTTGTTCGATAGTTTTGCGACAGTTACTCCAAATGCCACCTACACTGTCTTCCGGGTGCTCCATGCATCTTAACTGTGAATCCAGTGCTGCGCCATAAGCCTTCCTAATCTGAGGGTCTTTAAAATTGTTGATTTTAAACTTTTTTGCTTTTGCCTGGACCCTGGGTGGGTTAATAGCAATTCTTGAAGCAACGTGGGCGATACTGAGGAAATGGTCAGAATCAACGTTAGCGCCTCAGAACACTCTGACATCAGTGATGCTACTAACATGCCTGTTGCTTTCGAGGATGTGGTCAATCTGCTGGACTGTGAGCCCATCAGGCGATGTCCATGTACCTTTGTGGATGTTTTTGTGTGGGAGTGCTGTGCTTACAATTTTAAGCCTTTGGGAAGTAGCAAAGTTGATTAGTCAACGGCTGTTGTTATTGCTCTCTTCATGCAAACCGTATTTACCAATGGTTAGGACATAGATATCCTCCCGACTTTAGCATTAAAGTCTCCGGTAATCATTATCATATAGTGGCAAGGTAGGGAGTCTAGCGTATTGTCGAGCAAGTCATAAAAATCATCCTTGTCTTCGTCATTAGTTTCTTCAGTTGGGGCATGTACATTAAGGATTGAGAAATTATAAAACCTCCCGCGAACCCTAAGCACAGATATCCTTGGACTTACTGGCTTAAATCCGATAACTAATCTTCTAAATGATTTCCTTACAATAAATCCAGTCACAAAGGTATGTACCCGATCATTGCAACTGTAGAATACCATGTGGTTTCTTTTCTCCGGCGTGCCAGGGCCTATTCACCGGATCTCTTGGATGGAAGCCATGTCCAATTTGTATTTATTTATTTCATTCAAGAGCATATGACAGTATTCAGATTTATATTCCTCATCTACGCTCCTGCTGCACCATAATCTACAAAGTTACCAGTGATGCAATGTTTCTGCAGATCGTCCTAAAGGGACATAAGATGTTAGACCAAGTTCTCACAAGACAAATGATTATGAATGGTTTAAGTTGCTATGTACCATGGCAAAACATTAGACACTTCATTAGGCTCTGTTGGGCACTATGAAAAGGATTGCTTCTTCCAGTAGTAATAATATTTCTGTCATCCCTTCGTGTCATAATGCGCTGAGATTCACTTACAAGTCTCCTATTGGTACTTATGGTTTCTCTGAATCTGGCTAAAGCCCAGGCGATGCCAACTGCATCGGCAATATGCACTTGCCAGTGCCTTTGACTACTCATTCTCACAATAATATTGTGAACTTCTGGTTCAATATGATGTCTTTCCATCATTAAACAGAATATTACTGGATTAAAATTGATAAAAGTCTAAAACAACTGTTGGTTTGCACAATGAGTATCCTTTATGATGACTATCCTTTAGTTAATAATTTATTAAAAATGAATACTTATTGTTTACTTTTTATGTTTACCAACAAATAGGAAAATTCCTGACAAACAAAATACGGTATTTTAATTTAAATAAATCAAATATAAATATCCCTATTAACTTTTTAGTAGTTTATTTAAAATCTATAAACAAAATAAAAAAGCACCTATTACAAAATGACATAATTGCTGACTTAACATAGAACATTTTAATATTTATACAAATTATTAAATTTGACTGATACAAATGCTTGCACCAATGACAGAAAATTTACGAACATTTTAATACATACTAACTGAGTGTTATTTGTTTGGAGAGGAGAGATTATTATTAGATTATCAAAGGTTAATAAGTCAAATAATAATAATAATATCAACCACATAGAAACATTTTGTGATGCAGTTTAAAAATCTTAATAAGGTAAAATAATATTTTTAATTTCTGAAAGAATTGAGCTATCTTCATTTGTGAAATGTTTGGTTTGTATCTCTTATTCTATTTTGTTCAAAATATACACTGCTTTTTGCATTTCTTGTTTTTATTTGTTGATGTGTATTTGGCTTATTTTTATACTATTTTCAATATTTGTTTTTCGAATTATAAAATATTATAAAACTAAAAATGTAAATAATATACATAGGGTAAACAGATATACATAATCAAACTTAATTTTCTTACTGTAATTAATCAACATCAACAAACCATAATGTTCAATTCACCTTTAATGTTACAGGAACCTAGTAGAATAAAAATATGACATCCATTGTTGTAAGAAGACAAGTTTTTAATCACCTAAAAAATTAATAAAAATTAAGCTCTTACATTTGACTGTGATCCTGCTTGCTGGTCAGAATTTGTTTGCTCTGATCGTTTTGCAATGAATTCACGCACTCTTCCAGAATATGGTGTACCATCAGACGACTTCTGAGGTGAAGCATTATCATCATCATCATCAGGGTCATCAGGATCCAAATCATTAATTAGATTTTTAAACTGGAACAATACAAACAACGAACATAAACAAATAAATCAAAAGTTTATTATAAAACATCATGTTTAATAAAAATTTAATAATTTAAACAAAATAATTAAAATGATTGCGAATCACCCTTGTTAGGGTAATATTTTGATTCAACATGAACCTAAATGAATTGGGGAAAAGTGCACTATTATGAGATACTTTTTTTTATCTGTTCTCTAAATTGTTTTGAAAAAGTTAGCAAAAGATTCATAAAAAATGTTCCTATGGCATGGATATATTCTCTGTAGATCAAGTTACTCCAAGGCATGTCTTCGAAGCAATTAAAGAGCCGATCTTTTTATAATAGACTCAATTGTATTTTTTAGAGACTGCTGCGACCATTGTTGGCTTATTGTAGTAGATCATCGGTGAACAGTAGAACAGATATTCCAGGCATTCTCTCGAACACAGCCACTCAGTCATCTACCATTATATTATAGAGTGTGGGACTCAAAACAGATTGTTGCATAACCCCCTGGCTAAAATTTTTTAACTTGAACACCAGCCATTGTATCTTACTCTAAGAAACCTCTGGGCCAAGAAGGACTGTATGGCTCGTTACATTTGTCCACTTATATTCATTTTGAGGAGCTTATTCAGAACTTTCTGGCAGAATCTGTCAAAAGCAGCTTTAAAATCAACACATACTGCAAGAGTATGTTTTTTTGCGTTAGAATTCTTCTTTTACATCTTCACTAAAACAAGCAACCTGCTCAGTTGTATATTGGTGCTTCTGGAAAGCTACTTGCTTTGATGACACCTTATTTTTCCTATCCAAATATATGTGCAACCAGGCTAAGACCATTCTCCCATAGAGCTTAGAAAAGACACTTGCGATATAGGTTGGTAGCTAGATGGGCAAGAGGAACATTTACCTTTCTTAAGAATTGGGACCACATCAGCCTTCCTCCAAGCACTAGGATATTGTGACCTCCACACAGTATTGAGAAAATCCAGCACAGTGAGGTTGGCTTTTACATCAAGGCGAATAAGGAACTTGGGTAATATATCATCAGAGCCTCTGCTTGATTCCCTTCTTTGTTTGTTCCAGAGCAAGTTCGAGCTCTTCCTTACTAAAGTAGTTTACAAAGAGTTGGCTTTCAGATGAATTCCGACATAGGATTGGTGACGTGGTATTAATTTTCTTATTTCCTTCTGCTGGTTTATAGTTAAGAGGTCCTGGTAAAAAATTTACAAAAACTCCTTGCTATGGCAAGTCCAGAATATATCTCCTTGTTCTTACTGAACTTAAGAGGGTTGTTTCTTGGGTCCTATTTGCCATTTAGCTTAGAGATGACTCTATGTGCTTTTACCCCGGCTATTCGAAAATCCAGACTAGCCAAATACTCTCTTAAAGCTTTTCTTTTGGCTTGAATTATATTGTACTTTAGGTTTGTTGTAAGTTGTCTTAGTCTTACAATATCTTCCGTTTTGTTTTTATTCATATGGTTTCAGGAGTAATGGCTGTGTAAGTGAGTTGGGAGAATTTATTCCAATTGGCCTTTTTCAAATTCCATCTGAACATTCGAGGCACTGAACTATTACTTGGCTTAGAGCTGTCACTAAGGTAGGCAACCATTATCTTGTGACCAAATACTCCAGGTAGAGGAGCAACTGTGTGAGAGATGAACGGAACAATTCATGGGTGCACCAATAATAGGTCAGGGTGGGAACTGGTACCTATATATTATAATCTATAGAAGTGGGCTTTGAATTTTCCACAAATTCAATAAATTCCACCATAGTTTTCTCTGCTGAATTTGAGTTTCTGTAATCCCAGTGCCTGGAGTGAGCGTTGAAGTCTCCATACATAAGGTATTTGTCAGTTGAAGAGTCCTCTAGGCAACCCAAATTCATTTTATTATTAGAGGGGTTATAGATTATAAATATTTGGTGGTGGAAATTGCTTGAGCATAGATTTATTTCCACTCCTTCCAATTTATCATTTGAATCCATTTCATTTTTAACTTGGAACTTAGCTGTGAAGAAAGACCTTACACGAACAAATACCCCTGAAGCTATATCTGTCCTTCCATTATGTCCTTCCTCACCATGGAGTTTTTCATGTGGTTTTCAATGCTAGTCAGCCTTCTTTTAATAGCTTTTCATTAAATGATATTATTGTAGCTTTTGGTGTCTGTGCATCATATTGATCTCATTAATTATAACACTTCAATCAGGATAAATCAATAATTGATTAATGACATTAACAATACATGATGTCCGACAAAGAGTAGTCCTATTCTTGAAGAAATAAGTACATACAATTTTATTAAATTATTTATTTGTTTATTTAAACAAAAATTTTAACCTAATATAATTTCACAGTTGACATGAGACAAATAACAAGAACACAGTTCTAATACTTAATGCTTTTTAAATAGACAAAAATAATCAAAGGTAGGGCATGATTTGATAATAATTGCATGACAGTTCAAAAATTATGCAATAAATCTATTGTTAAAGTCATTAATTAACTAATAATTTATCTTACTTGAAGTTTTATAATTATAGAGATGAATACAATGCACGCACACCGAAAGCTACACTACAAATAAAGTTTTAAAATATTTTTTGGAGGATAGAAATGTGCATCAATTGAGCAAAAAACATTAATTTTGTTCATTGAGAACCATTTCAAATTTTAGAAAATTTTGGAAGTTACAAGGTACCTCTGTGCAATTTTTCCAATTATGTGCAATTTCTTTTTGCTAATGTTTGATAATTGTTCCAAAATCTTCATTGGGATGCCTATATTACATACATTACCTAAAATTTAAAATAAGGGTTCTCGATGAGAAAAATAAATTTTTTTTTTTTGCTTAATTGACGCATATTGGACAACATTTAAATAGACATAAACCAAGATTTTATAACAATTCAGTGAGTGGAAACTGAAATTGTAGGTTAGCTAAATCCTGCCTCTAATCTACACGTTTTTCAATATTTCAATTATATTCAACAACTAACAATTTACTTTAGTTCCGTGAAAACCTGGCCTTGAATAGTGTTGACTTCCAGCTGCTAAAATTGTAAGCATGAAAAATGGTCAGGATTTGCAGTAAAAGAAATTATGTTTATTGATTTTTCCGACGTTTCATAAAATATACTTTTTGGACAGCACGCCCCGACTATTTTTCATCCTTCCTTTTTTATTTCCTTAATATTAAAACAATGACACTGAACTCTATTAACTTTTACTGTTAATCTAGTCATAATAATTATTATCATGTTTACTTCTGCACCACAGGTATTGTGAAACAAACAATTATTAATTCCGAAGGGTCATTTTTCCTAATAAACCTCAACTTAATTAGTATGGACTAAAGCTTATTAAACGACGATTATTTTCTAAAAGTTGAGTAACTGTAGTACAGTTGAAGAGTGATAAAAAAAATCACAAATAATTTATGACCTTTTTTTAAACGGAACTTAACTGTCTTTGTCCACTCAAAAGTCATCTTTAAATAATTTTAACAATGAAAAAATCTACTTTAGTTTTAAGTAAATCTTGTCTAGTATACTATGGAGCATCAAAATTTTGTTATGTTATCGCTTCTTATACAACAAAAAACGTGACTTGCTTAAAAAAACAAATCTTAAATTTCCTACTTTTCTGCTGGAAATTGGCCAATTATTTATATGAACTTTTTTTTAGATCTTGATGTCTTCTATCAAACTTATAAATATTTCCCTTTATTTATGGAACACCCTGTATAATGTCTTTAGAAGCTAAAACTAGAATTTATAATGCTCGAAAAAGAATTATTGAATTTTATAATAAGATATCTCACATTATCTACCATAGTGTAATTTATTTTTGTATTTTCATATATTATTCCTGATAATATTTATATTAATTGCACAGATAATGGAGTATATTTAGTAGTGCTGCTATAAAACGAAGAAACAAGGAAATATGAAAAATAATGGAGTTACAGAATTATGATAAAAAAATCTAGTTTGGGACCACTGCGTTTCGAGTTGCTGGTAGTTAACGCCCAAAATGGTGCTAGATGCAAAGAGTTAACATTTTATTTACTCTACTTTGTCTCACTTCTTTTTAGTCAGTGTTGCATGTTTTATTTTGTAATGTTATAATGTATTACATTGCTTCATTCCTTCATTAGTATTTTCATTTCAATAATTACGTTTTTAGAGCTGAACTCCATTGTGTATCGTTCAGAAGGGGATATTGTCATGAAAATTATGTAATTAACGCTGTATGAATATTATTATTATTTTGTTTCAAAGAACAAATAAAGAACTTTTTTTTTTAATTTTAGTTCTTAGTTTTTATGTATTCAATGCTACATTAATCTTAAGTTTTATGAAATAACATCTAGGTTCAGAACATAACTTAGCTAGAAACAACCAATACCATAAGCCAACCATACCATAATAGGCACTTTCCACTAAGAAAAATATTTCATATTAAGCCAATCATACCATAATAGGGCACTTTCCACTAATAAAAATGTTACTTATCAAAGAATCGACATATCCTTCAAAATTTATTGAGAATACCAAATTTGAAAAACAATATTGACCTGATATAATGATTTCACATAGTTTCTTTCATGGATTTTATGGGTGTAAACAATAAATGTTAAAATTGAAGCAATAATTCATATTTTTTAGCATACACCTTTAAAACCAAAATAACTAAGGGTGGTATGAAGTCAATTTTTTAACTCCAACTGAACATAACATTAAAACGTTTGATTGCAGAGATATTTCTATAAAACGATAACATTATTCTAAATCAAAAGAGTCCCATTACCTCTTTTACTTACTCAATGCTCAATCAATACTTTTCCCCACCAACATTTAAAGGAAGAAGAAACATCAAATTGGTGGGAAGGAGTCTTTTTTCGTTGAGTTTCACTAAAGTATTGCTTTTTAATATAATGTTTAAGTAGAGTTAGAGGAACGACAATGGATACCACCTTTAATCATTGAGTTAAATAACAAGCATAACTTAGATGTTTCTAATTTTCTTTAAATTTTGGAAATTAAATGACATTGTCCTAGAAGTAATTTCATTTTAATTTTTAAAAATGAGAAAAATTGGGAAGAACTAAGTATTAACCTCTAAATATTCTGAAACCAATGATCTTCTTGCTGCTTCATCAAGCTGATTTGGAGGTGTGCCCATCATAAGCTTCTGTATGATAGCCTTTGGATTAAACTTGGCATTACATTTTCTCGTCACACTTTTTTCATAGGTTTTTGCACTTTCAGTTGGTGAATATTGTGTGATTTTACTGAAAAAAAAAAATAAGTTGAGAGTATACAATAGTCTATAAGTGATAAACATACAATTCAATAAACCAGAACATATAAGGCACATAAAAAGACTCCAACCATATTTTTTAAAAACACATTTTAGAAAACTAAATTAATGTTGAGAAAGAATGAGTGTTGAGCTTCTATCTTTTCCCATATTTAAAGCAAACATCTGAGCTGAGCTTTTATGAGGTTGTATAAATAAATATAAAAAGAGAACAACAGCTAATATAGAGTGGAGTTCATCGTTTGTGCACTTATAAAATCTAACCAATCTTTAGAAACAAAAAATATAAGTCTCACTCAATTTTATTTAACTCAACACTTCCAAAAATTCAATCTTAAAATAAGATTATGGTATTTCCTTTACAATAGTCATTTAGTTTGTTCAGTAAACTTGAGAAATGACAAATAAAAATGTTGGGCTATTATAAAATCTTTGAATTGCTTTATTAACCGAGTTAAAGCTAAAAACTTACAGCTAACAAATCATAAATACCATTAAAATAACATCCTATTTATTATATTACCAGTTGATTATGGATTGTATGATCCGTTCATTATGGATTGTATGACTAGTAGTTATTAAACTGTTACTTTACATTGCAAACTTTACTAAAACGGAATTATGAGATTTGCATTGTCTGTCATAGACAGGTCAAAGGTTGTCACACTAATTGAAAGTTGATACTGCTGGAATATCAAAAAGGTAAAATCATCAAATTATTCACTAATTAAAATTTCTGAAAGGTTCCATGACGATTTTCGTAATAAACGGACGTTGATACCTAATTATTATATATAATGTCAGATCTAGAATTATTAAAGTATAGTAAATGTATTTAAGGTTATAAACATATATACCCATGAAATATTTTTATATTTCACTTCTTCTTTCACACAAATACAATGAAATAGTATTTTAAACAATGTCATTGCCTTGGATCCGTAAATTTTAAATACTTTTTCAAACTTGAAAAAATATTTTAAAAGTTTACATGTTTACAAGAAAATTTCATTTATAATTTCCTTGAAAACATGTAATTAACATTAGTTTTAAAAAATTATTATTTATAATTTGTTCACCACTCTCCGTTACCTTCTAAAAATTTCTATTTTAGATATTGTTTTTTCTAAACTTCTCCGCTTTCCAATGATATATTATACCTATACCTTCTGACTAGTATTTTCAGCCTAAGTATTTTTCCTTTTTCTCCTTTATTCAATTATCAAATTCTTTCAAAACTTCTATTTAGCATTTTTTCATAATTCCTACTCACAATTTCCTACAATCCACTGCTATCATAATCAAAACCTTCTCGTTTCTTATTACCCTTGCATCAGCATATTGCCCTCCCAACCAATCCATCTCTAATATCCAATTTAGTTCCTTCCTCAATTCCTTAGGAGAACATTTGATCCTGGGTGCAGACTTAAACGCCAAGCATCAGCAATAGGGTTCAAGAACCACAAATTCTTGAGGTCAACACTTGCTGTCTGCACTCAACTCCCAACATTTTAACCTCGTTCCCCCGAATTCATCTATATATTGGCCCACAGATTCTAACAGTAATCCCGATATCCTCGATTTCTTCATCCAAAGTGGTTTAGGTCCCCTCAACTATTGAACGCCTCGATGAACTTTCCTCAGACCACAGTCCATTAATATTCCAAGTATCACTAGCTCCTATTCCCAAATCCTCTCCACCGTCCTCCATCAGAAGCCCAGTCAACTGGAAACTCTTCCATCAAATCCTTTCCGATCAAATTGACCTCAGAATAACCCTGAAAACACCAGAAGACCTTGACAATGCCGCACATTCCTTAACCACCACCATTCAACAAGCAGACTGGACTGCTTCCTCTCCTAATCATTCTCCAAGAATTCCAAAGAAAAATAAATTACCTCATCACATCCTTGACCTAATCCATACCAAACGCTGGGACAGATTGTTATGGCAACATACCAGACATTCCACCGACCACCGCTCCTATAATTATCTCTGTAAACAACTAAAGCAAGAATTATCCAACTTCAAATCCCAATCCTTCAACTTTTTCCTTGCCTCCACCTCCGCTCAGGACAATTCGGGAATATCACAAAAAAAAAAATCCTAAAAACCCATAATATTTCCCATACCCTCCATCGAGGTGATGACTCCTGGGCAGCGTCCGATGAAGAAAAAGCTGAGGAATTCGCAAAAAACCTTTTCTGTAATTTACTCCTCATGCTCAATCCGATCCGACCCACACTGCAAAAGTAGAATTCCTCTCTTCACCAATTCCATTCTCTTTACCACCAAAAGCAGTTCATCCTTCTGAGGTCAAATATCATTTACAAAAACTATTATCCCGTAAAGCTCCTGGATACGACCTTCTAACCCCACAGATCCTTCATCAACTACCACCCAAAGCTATCATATATATACAACTGCATCCTAAGAACTACCCATTTTCCTCTCTTATGGAAACATTCCACCATCATCCTTTTCCTGAAACCAGGCAAACCTTCCAATAATACATCATCCTATAGACCAATTAGCCTACTCCCAATCCTTTCAAAAATCCTATGAAAAGAATGCTATCCATAATAGAATCCCAAAACCTTCCTACCCATCAATTCGGATTTCATTTCCAACATTCCACAATCCAACAAGGACTCAGAGTTGTTGACCACATATCCTCAGCCCTAGAAAGCAAAGAGTATTGCTCAGGAGCATTCCTGGACATTGCGGAAGCTTTTGACTGGGTATGGCACGTCGGACTGCTCTTCAAGCTTAAATCCCATCTATCCCAGTCCTTATATCTAATTTTCCGATCCTACCTCTCTGACCACTCCTTTCAAGTTCGCTATGGTACAGAATCCTCCAACTGTCATTCAATCGAGGCGGGAGTTCCTCAAGGCAGCGTCTTGGATCCCGTAGTCTACATTCTGTTTACCGCTGATATTCTTACTCATCCCGAAACCCACCTGACAACATTCGCTGATGACACAGCAATCCTATCTTCCAATCCAGATCCTGAAACAGCATCCTTAAACCTACAAAGTCGCTTATCTCTTATTGAACACTGGTGTAATAAGTGGAGAATCCAAGTAAATGAATCCAAATCCAAATATATCACTTTTACCCATTGACGCAATTCCTGTCCACCAGTCTACTTCAAGTCCATACCACTTCCTCTCTCCGACATAGTCCGGTATCTTGGATTTCTCTTAGACAAAAGACTAACATGGAACCCACACACCAGACTTAAAAGACAACCACTTAACAGACGATACGGACAGCTATATAGACTACTGAATAGAAAATCTCAAGTTTCAGTCAACAACAAACTACTCATCTACAAGACAATCCTAAAACCTATCGGGGCCTATGGAATAGAACTGTGGGGGACAGCAAAACTTTTTAACATCAAATGCATTCAATCCTTCCAGCCTAAAGTCCTCCGATCAATAGTCGATGCTCCCTTCTATGTATCCAATAAAACTCTTCATAATAGCCTTCATATCGCATTTGTTCTTGACCTAATCCCAGAAATTTTTTTCCAAAATTTCACCAGAACATCACTCATGATCCAAATCCTGTAGCACAATCCCTATCTAGCTCCAGTCGTCCCTACAATCCTTCCCGGAGGTTAAAACGGCAGTGGCCCCGTGACCTTCTGTAAATATTTATACACTGGAGTTCTGGCAATGGTCAGATTCTCCACTCAGGTCCTGAGCTGCTGTAGTGCCCTCCATCAGTTTCTACTGGTTTCCAATACCAGTGACGTGGGTGGGAGAGAAGCACTGGGATCTCCTAGACCTAGAGTCCTGCCTTGGCTTCCACATATGGGAGACAATGCATGACTCAAGAGTCCCCCAGGCGAATGTAAATATTGTATATAGGTGTGAATGTGTTTTATTTACTTTAATTTCATTTAGCTTTAAATCTATTTTTTTTTTTGTACACAGGTATATTAATTTACTCATTTTATTTTTCTTCATCATCTCTATCTTAGTTATTATTTCTATGTATATACTGTATGAATGATTAATGTAGCCTTAATATTAATGCCCTTCAATGTGGCAAAAAAAAAAAAATTCCAGAGATTCATTTTCGACCTGGATAAGCATTTTTTATTTTTTCTCCAGTTTCCTATTCTCATATTCTTTCAAACTTCAGATTTAGCCATTTTTTACTGTTACTGTGAATAAGAGTGTTAATTTTTTTAAACAAACCAATTTAAAGGTACTTTAGAGGAAGAAAAATTGAACATTGGGCATTTAAGCCCTGTAAGGTGACATCAATGTGGATGAGACCTAGTTGATATTAAAGACGACTTTATAATACACTGATATACTGTGTTTAATCAAAATCGTTAGAACCATTCTTGAGAAAATCGTAAAAATGTGTCGAGAAGTCGATGATATAAATATCATTTCCAGTTCGCTGATTTAGACGAAAATGTTGCTGTAACATCCCAGGCATATAATAACCTTTAATACGAAATTTCACTTTTTCACGACTTTTCGTTTTTGAGCTAGACTGTTTACATATACACACACACACAGACCATTTTGCGGGACTTGGTTATGTGGACTCAGGGGACCTCAAAACATGTATTTCATACTCAGAATACAAAACCTCCTTGAAAACTCAGAGTCAAAAATTTTCACGATCACAATACTGTCTCTTACTACATATTTCATGTGCAGGTAAGTGAAAGTAAAAAACCTGTACCACTACAACCCATGAAGGGATTTGGGTTCAGTACTTTGTAAAGAAACACTGTTTCTTGGTATACGGTTGTGCAGGGAGGTGATTAGACAGAGGTCAAGCTCAACCAACAGATTTTCCCCCTTAATTAATTATATAATTAAGGGGGCCACTTAATAGAGGCTGGGTATGCCCCAGGAGGGTCTCCTCACCCAAGGGTTGATCCATGGTCAACGAAACAGAATAAATAATTTATATTCCATGAGCTGGATTCGAACCTGGGACCTTGAGCAAGGGAAGTCAGCTCCATACAACTGAGCTATCCCACTCCATCTTTATTTGAAATATGATCATCATATCATCATTTTTTCAATAGTATGAATATAAAACTTATCATTCTAGATTTTGTAACCAAGATTGAGGAAGCATTGGAAAAAAAAAACTCTCCTCTCTTTTGTTTTGTGTGCCTGATTACTAATTCATTTTTTAGCATTTGCATGTGCTATTACTCTTACTCTTATATCTCTTGTATCTTGACCATCTTTTTTTGATGTTTAGATGTGGCATGCCATACTGTTGTATATAGAATAAGTTTTATTTTTTTGTTATTTGTATTATATTTATTATCTTAAATATCTTCCTATTTATCTTTAATTGTATATAGTAATTATGTTTAAATTCTCTCCTTTTTCTTTGTATTTTATTTCTTTTTATTATACGTAGTATTAATTCTGTAAATATTTCTTTCTGTAAATAGATCTGTTAACCTTTTTGCTACTTTATAAAAATATCCAACCTAACCCCTTCTCAACTGAGCTAGCATGGTAGAGTAAATATTTAATGATGGCTAAATAATGAGTAAGTACCTTATATTTTCTAGATTTATCTCTTTAGAGATGAAAGGCTGGTAAAGCCAGGTGCCCAACAAATAAAAATTCCTACAGAAAATTATATTTATTAAAACTTATTTTATTAACTTTGATTTATCCTTTTTTTTTTTTGGTCATAATTTAAAGCAAGCTAATTGGTTGAAATATAATAGGGCTTATAATAAATGTGGAGCTATCTTGAATAGAACTAAAACGGGAACACTGGAGAAGTATAGATCAAATGAAATGAGTCAAGGAGAATAAAGTTCAAACATTTTTTTCTAAAAACTAGTCAGATAAGAAACCATTATAACACAACAATGAATATATAATAAATACTTACGCATCATTGAAGCCATACATAGTTTTCAAATGTTGTTTCAAAACTAGAAGCAAAAGGCATCCCTGAGAAGCTGTAAGACAGTGTTGCAATGGTGTTGTATCCTCAGGAAGCCTAGACAAAAGTGTTTCTTCATCTTCATCTTCCTCTTCGTCTAGTTCAATTTCATTGTTTTTACTCCCCTCAGGATTTAGTGGAAGAAGAGCCTAAATTTTGAAATAAGCATTCACTTAATGTAATCATTTATTTTTTTTTCCTTTTAGGTTTTAAACTCACATTCTTATAAAGCACAACATAAAAAAAATAAAATAAAAAATAAATATATATATATATACATAAAAACAGAGTGCCCAGAAAGTAGAGAGATATATTTAAAAGGTTGATAGTAGACATCAAGATCTACAAAAAAGGTCATATAAACAATTTCTCAATTTCCAGCAGGAAAGTAGGAAATTTAAGATTTAAGATTAAGCAGGTCACATTTTTTGTTGAATAGGAAGAAAAAACATATTTTTTTTTCCCATTTAAGTAATTAAACGTTGCTCCATAGCCAAATAGACAAAATTTACTTTAAAAGAAAGTATAGTTTACCATTGTTAAAACTATTTAAATAGGCCTATTGGGCAGAGAAACACAGCTAAGTTCTGTTAAAAAAAAAGTCATAAATTATTTGTGATTTATTTTTATCACCCTTCAACTGTACTACAGTTACCCCAATTTTAGAAAAACCTCCTCGTTTAATAAGCTTCAAGTCCATACTAATTAAGTTGAGGTTTACTGGGAAATATTTTGAGATTCTCCTCCTTGTGTAAAGAAATGATGTGATTGTCTACAGTCACCCAAAAGTACCCTTGTTTTCTGCAAAAATTACTACAATTAACTGCTAAAAAAGTTTTATTAATTGTTTTTTTTTTTGTGATATGGGATTTTTTAATAAAATTAATTGCCTAAAAACATATTTTATTCATAAAAATAAAAAATTTAAAAATAAAGATTTTTCAAATATTGTTTAAGTAAAGTGGTAATAAAAATTGTGTTTTTCTCTCATCTCTCCATCACAGGAATTGATGTATATTTATAAGTGATAAAGTTAATGTTTCTAGCCCTAATATTTACATTTTCAAAAAATAATTGGAACAATCAGTAAGTTTCTTTATTTTAAACATACAATTTAGTAAGGAACATTAAGGAACGTTGTCATAGATAAATGCATATCAATTCACACGACGGAGATCTGGGAGAAAAACCACTTTATATGAAAAATATTTAAACAATCATAATTTTTAATCTTTTTTATATTTATTAGTAAAATATGTTTTTAGGCAACTGGGTCTATTAAAAAAACATCCCAGATCATGGAAAAACAATAAATAATACTCTTATTTATTAAATAAATATTAATTTTCATTTACGTCTAATTTCACTCTCCAAGGATGTATAGTTTGGTATTTTCCAAAATAAAACAAAACAAAGTAGGAAAAAATTAAATAAAGTTCTGGACAGTAAGTGGTTTATTGAATTGAATCAATCTATTAAAAAATGTTGGAATAATGTTGATAAGTTGGTGTTTGCTAACTTAAGAATACTCATGAAAATCAAAATCCTGATCAAGACTACAAGAGCCTGCTAATGAAACAGATTCAGTTTCTCTATCAATTTCATACATTGTTCTATATGCAAAACTTAACACACTAATATATAGTCACACATTACGCTTTATTACACACAGAACGGCAGGTCCGGGAAGGTCACTATCCAAATTTTACTGCCCTTGCCCTTTCCCTTGCTTCACCCTAAAGCTGCGGAGAAATGGGGAAAATGAAAAACAATTTTTATTTATTATAGACTATTGTTAGAAGGCAGAAAATATTTGAATATGTATAGCAAATCTTTTCTTTGTCTACTTTGTTGTTTACCGGAAGATTGTTTTTCCAAATTAACGAATATAGCTTCTGAAAGTCGTAGTTTTAGGTGATTGGGAACTGTGGCAAGTATGGTTGGGTTTTCAAAATCAAATGAGTGTGTGTGGTCAAGGGTTGGTTATGGCGTGTTCAGCTAGTTTCGAGGCGAGTGGGTTTCGTTTGGAGATGCATTTGTGTTGATATATTCATTTTATTAGATAATTTTTGGTTTTTCCTATATAAGAATTGCAGTTTGAGCTAGAGCATGTGATATGGTATACTATATTTGATTGTTGTAGGAGCGGAACAGGTGTATAGATAAAACAGCGGAACAGGTGTATAGATTTCTAAATTTACTGTTATTTTTGAAAACTATTTGTAGATGAGAGAATCTGGAAGTTAAAGTTTTTTTTTTTATTTTTTGAGATAGGACCGAAACACGATTAGTAAGAGAAAATATTAATTTTTATAAATTGATTATAAACATTATTTTTAGTTTCAATAACTTTTTACATATTTCATTTGTCTATTTCATGGATCATCAATCACTATATTTTATTATTATTAACCATTATCTGTCGTATAATATTGTATCTCTGATTGTACTAAAAAATTTTCAGCCCTGATGATGACCCACATTTGTTTGGGTTGAAACATCGGCACTAATAAAAACTTTATAATGACTGCATCCTGAATATTAATCACCCATGATTTTATTTTTGTTTATCGAAATACTATGAATGGAGTAAGGGCGAAACGATACTCTTGCCACCTCTGAGTTTTTATTAGTGGAGAAGAAGGCGATACTCCCTTCATCCTCCCTCCCCTGAAATCTAGGACACTCCTGGGATCTTAAGCTATTCATAAATATAATTGAATGGTTAATAGAATTAAACGTACATCATTTCGAGTTAGCAAGCACTAACTAATTAACATTTTTGAATATATTGATTCAATTCAATAAACCACTTACTGTCCAGAACTTTATTTTATATTTTTGTTTTATTTTGAAAAATATTGAACTATACATCCTAGCAGAGTGAAATTGGACATGACTGAAAATTAATAGTTATTTAATAAATTCATAAGGTTGTGTGAAAATATTTCTATTTACTTGTGTAAATTTAAGCGTATTCATTTTAATAAGAGTGAATACAGCCTTATTCACTTTTACATTAGTAACCACCCAGTAGAGATTGAAAAACGAGACGTTCTGGATATATATGGATAGTTATTGAAAGGTCCAAGGGATGGATAACCTGCCATCAGAACTATTTAGAGATGGGGAAGAAGCCTAAGGGGCAAGCTACTGTTAAAAAAGACTAAAGGGGTGTAGGAATGATCCTAAATGCTAATTCCTAATAAACAAAGTATTATCTGAAACCTTCTTAGTTTGAACTGGCTTGCATCTGGGTGATGAACTCTCGCCGATAATGTTCAACTTATATTAGGGGAAGGTGAAAAGAACTACATTCTTATAGAACAGGAGGGATGCATGTTGGAATGAATTATAAAATTCTGGGATATGCAATAAAGAGGAGTCACTAGAGATGAAAGAAACAGAGCAAATCGGCTTTAAACTAAATGAAGATAAAACTAAATACATGTTAGAAAGCCGAAAATTCTACTAAAACAGGATCTGCATAGAAGGAAAATCGTTCACGAGAAAAGAGAAATCCAAATATCTCAGCTCCATAATAATCTAAATGAATTCCAAATGGTCAGATAGAGACCAGCATATAACAAGTGCAGAGAGAGCTTTTTTTTCTGTAGGTATTGAAATCTTAAAAAAAAACACAAAAAACCTCAAATTAAGGGTGCACAATACTATGATAAAGCCAGTTCTGATATACAGCTACTAAACCTGGATACTAACAAGCACTCTAGAAAGAAGTATTGTATTAGAAGTATTATGACATCAATAGATCCTTGCAGTCACACACAGGTTTGTGGTCCTGAAGGCCACAGCAAGAAAATTGTGCCAAGAAATTAATGAAGGATAAATTAATTTATAGCATAGGTCAAGTGGTCAACTAGACGAGAAGGATCATTATAGGAACCTACAGTTTAGAAAAGGTGTAAGAATTCATCCATCTCGGCTAGCTAATAGTTATTATTTTAGCTAATAATAAGCAGAAATAATGATAAAAGAGTACAAATAAGAAAAAGAATGCTAAAGAACAGAAGCTACTTCATAAGGTTGGGCCTACCTATTCAGAAGCCATCATCTCACTGGGATAACAAAGTCCCTGTTTCTTTCCCATTAATTCATATTTATATTTTCTATCAGTGAGATCTCACATGACTTTATTTAATTTGCTTGTTATATCCAACTTTATTAAATGAAAAAAGATCAGAAATAAGCCTTTTTTTAAATGTTTCACCATAAGCAGCACTAATACAATGTTATAACAGGAAAAATTCATCATATTACTACACTTAACATCAATTGAGCAAATGCAAAATTTAAGTAAATTTAAAGTTTATAATATAAAAATTACCATAAGATGGGGTAACTTTGGGACAGCGGTTAAAATTTAGTTTGTGGTGATTCAGTAGTGGATACACTGTATTGGTTCAGTCTGCAAAAACATGCTTTATGTAGGCATGTACTGCGCTACTACCTTCCGGCACACTATTCTTGAGGCACAAGCGAAAGTTTCATGAAAACAAGAATTTTAAAAAGGAATGGAAATAAATAAAACCTTACTGCACAAGTAGTGTAGTGCACTGCGGTTCTCAAACTGGCACAATGTAGCAGTGCAGTACATGCCTATACAAAGCATGTTTTTGCAGACTGGACCAACATAGTGTATCCACCACAAACTAAATTTTATCCGCTGTCCCAAAGTTACTCCATCTTACAGTACTTCTAGCTTACCTCACGAAATGATTGCAACAAATTTGTTCCTGTCACAGACAGAATTATATCAATGTGATGTATAATAAATAGAGGTTCATCTTGAACTTGGTAAGGAAAATATGCCATATTATCTGCTAGATAGAGCATTTGCAGCAGGCTAAGTTTCTGAAATCAGAAAAATGTTGTTACATAATTTTAAAAATTAAAAATGCAAATGAGAAATTTATTGAATCAGATTAAATGACAGAATGATTTTTTGAAATTTAGAGAAAAAAACAAAAGAAATCCCAATGAAAATAGATTTTATTTGAGTAGGTTTATTTGTAATATATTTTATAGACAAAAATATTATGCATTTATATTATTTATATATTATACATTACAATTAATATTATCTAAGAAATGAAGAAAAATAAATCAGAAAGGTTCTGGTGAATATGAACTAATAATATATACTTACAGCTTGTTCATCAAACTGTTTTAATATTGACATAACAAGAGCTCTTCTTTGTTGCTTGGTACGTAAAATAGAATAAAGAAAACCATTAAGTGCACTTGGTATGATATCACCATCTTTCAGCCGATAACCACGTACTATGTCATTACATTGCAAAATCTTATGCAATTTGTAAGACAATCTGATACCAGCCTGGGCCTAATGAGAAAAATAAATTAAATTAATCAAACAACAAAATTAGCTTACCGTTTAATTTTTAATAAAATTTATATTAATTTAATATTTGGTTATTTACTATTTAATAAAAAAATAAATTAAGCATTATCAATTTTGAAATTTTGATCATGACAAAACATCAGTAATAATAATATTAAACTATTTTTATATCTATCATATCATAAAGTTAAAAAAATAATAGGAATACACAATTTTCAAAAAAATGCCAATTTTCTGGGAAAAAGGGTATATTTTAATCATAATTTTATTTAATAAGGAAAACCTTTAATTTTTATTGTTTACTAGTCAAGTTTTGTTTTTTTAAATAATTTAAGTATCTGCAAAGCAAGAGAAATTTAAGAATTTTAAATAAATAGTTAAAGTCATGACAGAACAGAGCTTGATTCTTGTGGTAATTTAATTAATGAAAAACAATTAAAATCTCTTAAAACTCTGCTCTTAAACAGAAGATAGGATGATTTATATGTTACTGATGTAATTATTCTTAATGAGCACCCATTTATCACTCTACTTGAAATATTAATTTATTTTAAATAAATTAATTACCTTTAAAAATACAATTCAACTATTTTTTTCCAACTATAAATATTAAGTCTTTCACTGTATAATATACATCTATATTACTATTCTTATTTCTAAAAACTTGTGTTTAACCAGGGAAAACTATACCGTTTTTTGTTTTGTTTGCATCTCCTTTTTTTAATTATAAAATTCTTTCATAGTTTATATTTATAGCTACTTACAATGAGAGACAGTTAATTATTTAAAATAAACAACATAAACTGAACTTTAGAGGAGGAAATTTTAAAAATTCTGAATTTAAGACCTGTCAGAATATTTCAATGAGGATAAGATATTAGAGGTAATATTAGAGATAATGTAATCCTACACTGAAATTATGAGATTAATCAAAACTGTTATAACCCAGTAGCCTTTTCATTAAAAGGAGGTTTAAGTTGCATTGAATGGGGATAGACGATTTCTTTATATTTAATTATATGGGATATGACTGAGATGCAAAACCTAAGTTTAATTTTTGAGCAATGTTGTAATTACATTCTTTAAAGCTTGGAAGATTTTCTTTTTTTGCACATGTCTAGACAATCTTCATCAAACCAGGGTTTGTTCTTAGTTACTGACCTCTTTAATATTATCTCTGATCCCTACCTATAACTTGTGTAAATCATCCCAATTCTCGTCAGAAGGTTTAAAAGCTTCTAACCTAACTTCTAGTTCGAATTTATTTCTAATTGATGGATTTTTTTAATTTTTCCAGATTAAGATTTTTGGAACCGAAACTATAAAGTTTAGTTGAACACTAAGTATATAATACTTATGATAAGACCCACATTCTGCTCCCTTATACTTACATTAATTATACTATTTTGCCACCTATGCTGTACCAGGACATGATAAATTTGATTTTGTGTTTGCAAAACTGGTGATATTTAAGTAGATAATTTATGAATAACCTTATGTTTAAACTTAATATTTTTAATTATTAGTTTTTTTGAGAGATGGCCAAGTTTATAAGTCCGATTTTATTATCATTGCCATAGTCGTGCAAAATTTCTTTGCCGAAGAAATTTCATCTGAAAATGAACTACTTAATTCCTACCCTTACGTTCGCATTTCCTAGAATTATTTACATGCAGTTTTGTGGTAGTTTATCATGAACCTACACCAGTTTATCATAAAATTCACATTTGAGACTTCATTGCCACTGCCTTTGGTTGGACAATGTATGTTTATCAACTTGATTTCAAACCAATAACCCTGAAATATGGCCATTAAAATCCTATTATCAAAGAATTGAATGTACCTCACAGCAAATAGCAATCTATTTGTAATTGGAAACCTTGTACCTAAACAATGATTTCTGCTTCCTCCATATCAAATAGTGTACTCACCTTCCTTTATTGAGCTGTTCCCTGGCCAGAAACGTCTTGGAAGTGCCACAATATGTAAATTGTACCTCTTAACCTTATTTGCGACCGATTTTAACTAATCTGCTCTATTCAAACATCTTTCATAAAAATTCCCAAATATTCAACTTACGCCATGAATCCCCTAAAGCAGTCCCCAAATGGAGTTAACCCCAGGATAATGAGCGTTTCTCCTTAGGGAATTCCATGACTAAGTAGTATTTCTTTAACTAAAGATATGGCAGTAGGACATTCAATTCTACCTCACAAACTCCAGCAAGCCAGGGAGAAGAAGGGAGGAGAGAGGGGACCCTCTCATTATTGGTCAGCGAGTACATCAGAATTAGCCAAGAGATATTAATTAACTATAAACCTTCATTAAAAAGATTAGAAACATAAATACTGCCCAGATCTTGATTTAAGTCAAAATGTTTTTAGTACGAGATACAGTCATCAAAATAAATTGTAAAGAGAAGTTTGAAATATGAACAATAGTTCTGAAACACAAGAAATGATACACTAAGCACACACATACATAGATGTATTTATTTCTACAATTACCTTCATATGAATAAAACCAGGATATTTCTTTTCTATTTCTTGTAGCTGTTTATCAGCACTGCTACTGACCGTTTTATCTTCATCAGTACTCATACAGATCAGATATGGAACAATCTAAAAATATATGCAATAATGAAGTGAGGCTGATATCAAGTTAATTAAGGAAAACATTAGACACAACATTTACATATAGTTAAACTAATCTATTTTATAAATAAAATAACAATAGAAAATGATTATTCAAAGGTCCCTAGAAAAGAAGAGGCCCCTAGAAGGTCACTTTCAGTTTTAAACATCCCCGTCTTCCACCAAGGAAAAGCTTCGTATAGTCTCAATGTCGAAGGGGTGGACCCAAATTAAAAAACTGAGATGTTTCAGGTTTGTACATGCTCTTATAATAGTCCGGGAGCCCGTGGTAAAAAAGGTGTCATATTTCATACTAAGCTTTGTCCTTATAAATTGATCATATCAACAGGCCTGATGAGAAAAGGTTTTTCTGTATAGTTTAGAAGTTTAATCATTAAATTATAATTGCTCTAGCCTTTGAATGGTTGAAGATAAGATCGTAAAATAATATATATTCTTAAAGAAAATTTAATATTAAACAACTTTCTTACTCATGACTTTTTCGTAAAATGAAAAGATAAAGAGTTGGCGAGTCAAATAATAATAAAAATGCGATGCAAAAATTTTTTTTTTCGAAATTAGTGAATTACGAGGGCGAATATCACGGAAACTATAGAATATAGCGAATAAACTAATATAACCATTTCTACTGAAAATTTTGTCAGCTTTAATTTCACATATCACACTATTATAGATATAACGCATAGTTTTACTGATATAAGCGAAAAACCGATAAAAGTAAACTTTTTTAATCGTAAATTCAATTTTTCGACTTGAAATCTACGAGTATGGGGTAACTGACTTTTATTTCAGGTCTTTAGACTGTAAATAATATAAATTGGAAGTGTTGGTAGCTTTATATATCTATAAGCTCTCTCTATATATACACGTGCAACCTACGTAAGGTCTCTTATATCTTCACATAGCCGCCATTTTCTATTCTAATGGCTTGATATCTTCTCCAGGACAAACAGGTGCTTGCCAGCCAATGAATTGCTACGACCGTTGTCACATACTTTAAATAAAAATATAATTCAAATAATATAAAGGTATCTATCGTTCCCCAATATTAAAAATACAGTTAAAAATCAGAAGGTAACTCAACCGTTCCTGAACTATCTGTAAAATCGAAGTTTTCAACAATACCACTGATCGACAATCTTTAAACTAAACTTCTGGTTGCTGCAGAGTTCAAAACTAAATATTAAAAAAAAAACGCCCATAAACGACCCCCATTGGCATCATACATAGCCTGCATTGACGTATCAGTTCCTGAGACTTTTGTCGTCTCAACCGAGATCATGATTTTGCAATTGTATTTTTAGTATTAATAATTAATGTGTGAAATTAATAATGATTTGCAGTTTCAATTAATTTATCTCTCGATGAATTAATGGGAACGAAAAAAAAATTTATTAAAATAAGATTTTTACTAAGTTGGAATAGCGATGTGGTTTTATAGTTTATAACAATATCGAAGGACTTAACTTAATCAAGGCTGCAGCTTACATTAAAATTTCTTCGAATTACAATATCGTATATAACGGTTATAACGATGTATCATCTTTAACGACGAAAACGCCATGTTGATGATTCAGATGGCTTTTATAATGTGATTTTGAATAGATATAGCGATTAGATTTACTGACTCGATTTCATAGTTTTTAGAAAAAATGATCGTATCTAGCAACATTTGAACTCCTAAAAACCTTTGCGTTTATATCTCTTATCGAGGAAATATTTTATTTAATTCGTTTTCTATGTGAGAATCACATTTATAAGGCCAATTTCATTCCCACTCTTAGTGTTAAATTCATATTTCTGTTTAGTAGTTTAAGAAGAATAACGAAGAGCAAAAAGTTCTAGATATAAGAAAAATTCTATACATGTTGCCGACTGGAGACTGAAGAGTCTAATAATATCTTGGCTCAAAAATTTAACATAAATCTTACAATTTGAAAAAAATTCAAATCTAATCGAGGACATGCTAAATCAGTTATATATATATAGAAAAAAAAAAACGACTACCAATCTACTCACGACCAAATTGGTTCTTCTCAATATTCCGCTATTAGACAAGGAGCTACCGCCATTTTTATTTAAAGGAAGAACTTATAGCTAGTAACCACTTTTAATTTTAGGTAAACCTCATCTGAACACACAACTTCGCTCAGTCAGTTGAAAACTTGCTTTCTATACGAAAATTTAAATTAACGAGGCGAAATTTGACGGTCCATTTAACAGAAAAACTGACAGCTGAAATTTGATATGACGTAAAGAATATGTACCTAAAAGAATACACCTTGACCGACGGCATCAAAGTCATCACATTAGGGCAGTCCGATAGTTGTTGGTTGAAAAAAAAATTCAAATAGTCGGTTTCTCTTCGGCTTTTTATGTTTTTTTTTGGATACTGATCTGAATTTGACGTTCCCAAACGAAATGTTCTATTGCGTATCGAGATATTTTTTTTTAAATTTCCAAACTTTTTGGACATGACTCCGAAACGGAGCATTTTATCGAAATTATTATTATATACGTTAAAGAAGATAAAATTTACTATCAATGTTATGCATAGATTTTTTATTTAGGGCTAACGGGTGAGCAGTAAGAAAATATTGACTGTTTGCATTTTTTACAAGAAAAATCAATTTTCCCCCAAAACTCATAATCTATGCATGTGTAGAATAAATTCAATATAATCAATTTGAAAGAGCATTAAGTTTCAAATGTACCAAGAATGTACGAATGTACTAGGATGTATAAACATATTACATAGCTTTTATCTATTCTGTTGATATGCATAACAAGCATCACAAAATTAAGAACCAAAATGCGTTTTAAAGTCCGAGCGATCCAACAACAGTTTGCTCATTCGCATATTATGACTCTACCTAAGCATGAATTATGTGAAGCTGCCAACGTTCTCTTTTAGTTAATCAACGAATATATGTATACTTACAGATAGTAAATAGTATTGTTATATTTTTATTTTTTAAAAAGCACAGTTTTAACTCCATTTTGCTTACATTTTATTCATTATCCTTGTTTAATTCCAATATAACGGCCAGGGCCATTATTGACAGTGACAACTGGATAGATATAGGTTATATAGCATTTCCAAGTCAATTTCAACCTTTTCCAAGTCAAATTCAACCTTTTCCATATCAAATTAAACTTTTTCCAAGTCAAATTCAACCTTTTCCATTTCAAATTAAACCTTTTCCATTTCAAATTCAACCTTTTTTTATTTATTTAATTATCTTTAATTTTTCGATGCGTGGGTCTGTTATCGTAAGAGTAGTTTTTTAAAATAACCTCCTTTTTAAGATTACGTGACATCGTTTCGAATTATTTAAGTTTTTTTGACTTATTCGATATAAGGGTGTATTTTTATGTTTCCCGATCAGTAAATTTTTAAAATGACATCTATTTTATGTTTACGCCACTGTGTTTTGATTTATTTAAGTTTTTAGAATTTATCCAATATAAAGGTCTACTTTTTTGTTTCCGGAGCCGTAGATTTTGAAAACGACCTTCATTTTAAGATTAGGCCACCGCGTTTCGACTTATTTGAGTTTTTCGGATATTTTTCATATGAGGGTGTATTTTTATGTTTCCGGAGCTGTAGATTTTGAAAACGACCTCCATTTTAAGATTAGGCCACCGCGTTTCGACTTATTTGAGTTTTTCGGATATTTTTCATATGAGGGTGTATTTTTATGTATCCGGAGCTGTAGATTTTGAAAATGACCTCCATTTTAAGATTAGGCCACCGCGTTTCGACTTATATGAGTTTTTCGGATATTTTTCATATGAGGGTGTATTTTTATGTTTCCGGAGCTGTAGATTTTGAAAACGACCTCCATTTTAAGATTAGGCCACCGCGTTTCGACTTATTTGAGTTTTTCGGATATTTTTCATATGAGGGTGTATTTTTATGTATCCGGAGCTGTAGATTTTGAAAATGACCTCCATTTTAAGATTAGGCCACCGCGTTTCGACTTATATGAGTTTTTCGGATATTTTTCATATGAGGGTGTATTTTTATGTTTCCGGAGCGGTAGATTTTGAAAATGACCTCCATTTTAAGATTAGGCCACCGCGTTTCGACTTATTTGAGTTTTTCGTATATTTTTCATATGAGGGTGTTTTTCATGTTTTCGGAGCCGTAGATTTTGAAAATGACCTCCATTTTAAGATTAGGCCACCGCTTTTCGACTTATTTGAGTTTTTCGGATATTTTTCATATGAGGGTGTATTTTTATGTATCCGGAGCTGTAGATTTTGAAAATGACCTCCATTTTAAGATTAGGCCACCGCGTTTTGACTTATTTGAGTTTTTCGGATATTTTTCATATGAGGGTGTATTTTTATGTTTCCGGAGCGGTAGATTTTGAAAATGACCTCCATTTTATGATTACGCCACTGCGTTTTGACTTATTTAAGTTTTTCGAATTTATCCAATATTAAGGTCTACTTTTATTTTTCTTGAGCCGTAGATTTTGAAAATGACATTCATTTAATGATGACGCCATTGCATTTTGACTTATTTAAGTTTTTCGAATTTATCCAATTTAAAGGTCTACTTTTATGTTTTCGGAACCGTAGATTCTGAAAATGACCTCTATTTTATGATTACGCAACTGCGTTTCAACTTATTTAAATTTTTAGAATTTAACAAGTATAAAGGTCTAATTTTATGTTTCTGGAGCAGTAGATTTCCCCCATTTTGTAAATGACCCAATTTAAAGTTTATGCCACTGTTTTGGATTATAAAAGTTTTTTTTTTACTTTTTCGGTATAAGGATCTACTTATATGTTATCCGAGACGTATTGAAATTTTTCTAATCTTTAATATTTAAATTTATCTAATATTTAAGCTCCATTTTATGATTAAGCCGCTGCATCTTGATTAATTAGGCTTCATTTTGGATTTTTTCAATACAAAGTTTCATCAATATGTTTTCGAGTATGAATAAATAAAT